CTTAAAAAAAAAAAAAAAAAAAAGGAAAAGGAAAAGGTTGGGCTGTAAAAAAAAAAAAAAAAAAAAAAAAAAAAAAGCCGCATACCAAGAACCCCAAGGATAACTGTTCAATCCATTATCTGAAAATAGAGTAACACATGACAGGCCACCTAAACTGACTGGCTGCCAAGTACAACATTAATCAGAGAAGCAGCCAAAAGACCAGTGGTAACTCTGAAAGAACTGCAGGCATCCATGGATCAGGTGGAATATCTGTCAACACAAGTTTGAGCTGTTTTAAATTATTAAAAATTAATCACCTTCCTCTCATTTCACAGTTATGCGTTATTTTGTGTCAGTCTATCACATTAGATCCCAATAAAATACATTGCAGTTTGTGTATAACCTGACAAAATGCGAAAAAGTTTAAGGATAATGAACACTTTTTAAAGGCACAGTACTTAAAATTCTGGGAAAATAGTTTAACATTGCTTGACCAACAACAAATGTCAAGCAATGTGTAATATTTTTGAAACCAGGTGAAAAATGAGTACATGTCAAATGTATTTTGTAAACCATGTTTTGCTTTTATATCATCAGCTGGTTGTAATTGTCAGCATGTGGTGCTGTTGTTACAGAGAGGTCTAAAATTACCGGAAGTAGAAAAAAAACCCTCTTGTTTATGTACTGTGGCACTAATTGGTGAAACGGAAGAGAAGGACATTTTTTGATCCGAGACCTGGTGGAGAAGATGACTCTATGGCCACATGAGAGAAGAATCCAAATTGTTCGGTAATTAATGTTTGAACTGAATTATCTTCCGTGGACAAAGTTACAGAGATGATGCTAATGTCATGTTTTTCTGTTTGTCCTCTTCTAGACGTGCCACTACCGTTTGTTATATTGTTGTTTATGCTGTTAGATTTCAGCTTTTATGTGAAGCTGCGTTCTACTCTGTTGAATGCTAACCGCGTTGTTAGCCCGCCATTTCACTGAAGCCAAGGCGTTCGACATACGGGCCATTTATTTCTCCACATATTGAATCTCATTCTTTTTATTTTGTTTCAACTCAGAGGGAACAGTGTCTTTTTTGAGAATAAAGAACCCCTTCGATTTGAAGCTCCGTGTGCTGTATTAATGTCGGCTTCACATTTTCTTTAAAAATCATGCAGTGTTGCTTTCCAATAATTATTAAACTGCTATGAAAATAAAAAATTTTCTGCTGCAAATAAGCCACACATTACATCTTCATTGTAAAGTATGACCCCCGTACTATTAAAACTTGAATCTCACATCACGTGACATGTATGAGTCCTTCATGATTTTTGAAACCGCACAGTTGCAAATGTTAGCATCACACTTCCAGATCCAGATCACTTTAGCCTTACCAAAGCGTTTCCTGGTCCACCAGTGTGGCTCCTTTATGGTGTTAAATTTAAGCTCCGGAAGCATCAAGAGTCTGTGAAACAAGTCTGTCGTGCCACACTTTGGCTGACCGATGATGTAAAAGTACGGCAAGCAGCGCAGGCGAAAGCGTTTCCCGTCTATGTCGCACACATTCTGGTGGAACCTGGCTCTCATGTGGTCACACACGTTCTTGAAACTCTTGGAGCGGAGACTGAAGCGGTTGTTCTTGTACGGGTCCGTGCCAAGATCACCGGAGAGCTCCTCGTACCAGCATGGGCTCTTGACGTGGGGCAGGAAATGGCGAGGAATCACTGAAAAGAACTAAAGAAAAAAGAACATAAAAAATGGGAGCAGGATTCTGTTTTTCGCTGTGTCAAATCCTGATTGCAGGTATGTTTGTTTTTGTGGCACTGTTATACCTGAAGTCATTCCACAATCACATCAAAACATCAGTCATTCATAATTAAGGGCAATATTATAGGATTCTCCAGCTTTACCCCAGATGAGTCATCATCTACTTGGTTCTCTCTGTCTAACCGTTTTTCATTTTGATATATGTCTGACACATGGCACAAACTGATATTTAACTTAATGACTCACACGTGTTGCAACATCCATCATTGGTATTTTTACAAACACTGCAATAGTGTGGGTTGTACATGGAAACCTTTAATCAGGCTGTAATGAGCAGAAAAGCATTAGCATACTATACCAGAGGGTATTACAGATAAGCCTAAACCAACACTTAGAAAGTGTATGTCGCTTAGAAAAACAGGTCATTATAAGCTTCATCAAACAAATATTTACTGCAGAGATTATTCCAACTTGAAGTTGCTGTCGAGTATGTGCTTACTGCTGTGATTTACCAAATGCTGAGTGAACTTTCTTGCAAAAATGTTCATATTCCTTGAACGCTTAACACATTTTGTCAAGAGAATGAGATAATTAACCAGAGGAGGAGCCAGGAGGCCCATGGTGAGGCTAAAAGATTCAGATGAGAATATCTCGATAGTCTTGCTCACCACAAATCTGCCCTTTAAATAGAAGGTGTAAAGAAATTCACAAGCAAGTTCATTTGTAGTTTTCAGAGGTGTTCAGGTCAGATGAGTTGAAATTTTAACTTTTTGACACACTTTTGGGTGGTAGCATTCTGGCTGGAGCTAAATACAGGGTGATCCTGGAAGAAAACCTGGTAGAGGCTATAATAGACTTGAGTCTGGGTGCAGGTTGACCTTCCAGCAAGATGTTCACTCTAAACATGATTCCAGAAGTACAATGTAATAACTAGTTTGACGCATCTTGTTGTGTTACCATGGCTCAACTAAAGTCCAGACCTGAAACCAATTCAGAATTGGAGGTATGAGTCAAAGATTCAGCTTCACAGACACTCTTCAGCCAGCATGTGAAGACAGATCGACAGACATTTCAGTATCTACGTGAACAAAGCTGGAACCAAAACATTACAAAAGTTTTGACGTTTGAGTCCTGAAAACCATTTCATGGCATAATTTCAGAATTTCTAAAAAAAAAAAAAAAACTGTACTTTTCCTTTGACTTTAGAATTGCTGTCTACTTTCTGTTGGACAATCACATGAAAACCACAAAAATATGCTCATGACAAATTGTGAAATGGTTCAAGAATACATTCACAAGGCTCTGTGCAGTCTGCTCCTATAATATTAACATCATTAGTCATTTACTTGGCTAACGTACATAATAATGTCTCTCAGACTTACATGTGGGTCTGTGTTGATGACGTCCTTTTCGTCGGGTACCTTCCTGGACGTGTTCTGCTCATTGGAGTTGATCATTTTTACCAGCGTTTTCACATCTATAAAGCTCCTGTCAAGAGAGTCTTCAGCAGTTGTTGCACCGGTCATGATAACCACGGGCCTGAAAGGATGGGGGAACTCAGAGAGCAGAAGTCCTTTTCTGTCCCACATCAGGAGGTACGAAGCCATGATGAGACACATCAGCACCAGGCCCACAAGGAAGCTAATTACTTTGACTTTCGAGACATATGACAAGTTGACTAAACACAACAGTGGGAAACCTTTTATGTCCAGACCTTCAGGCATGTTTGTGTGCCTGAAGTCTACAAATGTCCTGACAGATCTTTTCCCAAAGTTGTCAGTCAGGGGCAAGTTCTGGGGCCTGTAGCTGTAGTCGCTGTGTGTGTGGCTCCAATGTTTGTTGTGTTTCAGAGACATGCTGACTCAGAAGTGGAGCAGCAGGCATGTGGAAAAGGAAGCCAGAGAATCATTTCCTCAAAAAGGTAGGGTTTCCATAGAAGTGCTTGTGTTTACACACGCGTCGTCATTTGTCTTCATTTTATGTCGATCCATCGCTAGCAAAAAAGCTCCTCCTGTAGAGCAGAAACAGGTGTTAAATGTATGGCTTTGAAACCAAAAAGCAACATTAGCTGCCTAAAAGTGCTTCAATAATCATCCTTTTTGAATAAAGTGTTTTTAAGTTTTATTTAAAGACACTTTATTTTTATACATAATACATTATACGTGCATTAGTATTGGTATTTAAAATCATACATTTCTATAACAGGAGCCACCCCAAAGATGTTTGAGGTTACCTGCAGAGTGTGTGTGGTCTGCTATGTAAGGACCAGTTCCCTAATGGAGAGGGCTGTACGGTGCCCACAAAGCCTGGCTCAGTGCTAGGAGTTTCAAGGATATAAATGTAGTTTGTTCTGTAATGCAAAACTAAAAACACCCCATTATCAAAAAATATGAAGTGTCTGACTCTGCAAATCTGAAAATTTTACTTTCAAGGATAATGTTTTATAACTATGAGGCTTAAATTTGGTATTGATACAGGAGGATGTCAATTTATCTCCACTCTGTCCGTATATCAAAAAGAAGCAAAAAGTCCATACAATCTTGTGAAAAGTTCAGCAAAGAAAAGTAGAATTTAAAAATAAAACCGTTTTAATGCAATAACTTTAAATAGGTATATATATTTTTTTAAATTTCTTCCGCAAGTCATTGGTAAGCATATTTTTGTTGACTTGCACATTTCTGAACTTATGGATTATGTGATTAAGTTAGTTCTTGTGTATTTGTTCTTCACAATTGTCAATTATCCTCTTGTTTTGTTGGAACACAAAAAATATCGCCAGAGTTAATTAAAAACAAAAGAGAACAGTATACATAATGCTCATCATACAGTCAAGGGTCATTTGCAACCAGGGGTGAGAAAGTAGGTGGGTACGGTCGGGTACTGCGTACCCCTAAAAGATTTAGAGGGGATACGCAGTGCCTGCAAGAGAGGGGAGCGGCTGTCTGCTGTAAAATATCAATGGGTTCACTAATCAGCCGTGACTGATTAGTTTTTCAAGAGCAATCTAAAACACGACTTAAGAAATCGTTTTTTTTGTTTGTTTGTTTTTTTGTTTTGTTTTTTTTTTTGTTTGTTTGTTTTTCTAATTTTATGTTGTTTCAGAACTGTTCGTGCTTTGCCAGAGCAGGGCTGCAACACGTCGATCGCGGAAGGTTTTGAGTTGATCTCGGCGGTAGGTGACAAACTGAACGCCACCAGGACTCTGAGACCAGCACGTCCTCCTCTGATTGGCTTATCGAAACGTTCGTAATTTTATTAA